CACGGCTATTGTGGCTGTCCTGGTATATAAGGTCCCGCCGGCCCGCCGCGCTCCCCACCTTGCCTGCATCCGCCCGGAGCCAGCGGTTCTCCACTCACCCAGCATCCAGAGAGACGCGCCGCGCACCGACGGAGGGGACATGGGCAGAGCGATGGTGGCCAGGCTCGGGCTGGGGCTGCTGCTTCTGGCACTGCTCCTACCCACGCAGGTGAGGCCCTGGCGCCCGGCGGGGCTCGAGGGTCGCGCCCCCCGGGGCAGGGGAGGGGAACCGTCCCCGGGGAACCGGCCTGCGCCCTTACCTCGGGCTACGGACAGGGACAGGGTCTGGGAGAGAGAATTTTGCGAACCTGCCAGGGGAGAGGGCTGCCCCCTCCCCTCCCACGGCCCCGGGAACAATGCAGCTCCGCGCGCGGGCCGGGAGGACCCTGCCCCACCCCAGGCTCCACGCTGCTCCTTCCCAGGCGACCTAGCGCCCACCACCCACTTTCACCCAGAGGCCGAGGTGCCAGCGGGGAAGAGAATATGCGCTCCCCTCCCCGCCCGGGGAGTTCTGGCTCTGAGGGGAGGTCGTCCCGGAGTCCCTTGAGCGCCCGCTTCCCTCTCGGAGTGTCTTCGCGCTCCCAGAGCACCACACAAAGAGAGGGGACGGTCCCTTTCGGGGAGCGCCGCTCATGCCCATCCTCCACCCTTGGAGCTGGCTCGAGGATCCCGAGGAACCCTCAGCTAACTGGCCTTATCTCCCACCCCACTGCCCGGAGGATCCCGGCGGAAGCCCACGGGGACCCTCTCCAGACGCTGCCTTTCTGCGATGCGACCTTACACGTCTATCACTTGTCACCGTAGGAGCTCCACGTTTACCCAGATTGGCTAGCTCTAGGGAGGCGGCGTGGTGGGATGATTCTGTACCGACTCCCCACCAGGCTTTGTCTCGGTCCCTGCCACCGCCGCCCTCTCCGACCGCGGGAACCGACCTCGCCCCCGGCGTGGTTACGGGGACCCTCATCACTGCGCTGCTGCGAGGGTGGAGTCTCAGCGCCTGCGAGGGAGAGCAGGGGCTGAGCCTGGGGGACCCGAAGGGGAGAGAGGGGGCATATATCTCGGGTAGCTCGGGCTTGGAGGACGGGGGTGAGGGAGCGGGGTGACTTTCCCACCACCTTCGGTTGGGCGAAAAGTTGGGCGCTCTGGGCCCTTGGTCCCCAGACATCCAACCTCCGGGCTCACCTGGGAGCGCAGCTCGAAAGTGTGGAGCGCTCTTGCCCACCGCGGGCCGGGTGACTGCACCCTATTGTCTCGCTCCGGGCTCGCAGCGCTCCCCAGCCCTTCACAATTTCCCGGTGGGGGAAGGGCGCGGCCGCGAGAAACACACTCCCCCCACCCCCGCCCTGTCTCCAACCAGATTTTTTTCCTCCGAAATTTTAAGAGGGAGGTTTTTGTTAAACGAATAAATCTAGCTTGGTGGGGAAAATTTTTAGTGTCCATTTACTAGATTAACGCTAATTTTTAAATTTTTAATTGGTGTAGAGGACCTCTTGTATTCCGATTGCACTGGGCTCTAAAAAAAGTCACCTGCTGTACTAAAACTCCTTGTGTGAATAAAGAAGAAATTACCTTCAGGTATCCCAAAGCAGGTCTCCAAAACAAAAACCTTGCTTTAAATAAATTACCATGTTAGTGCATTCCTTTTAGTCGGAGTGCTGTTTCCTGATACGAATAGCTGAATCTTGCACACAGTAGGTGCCCTGTAAATATATTTTACTTGATCAAGGTTTTCTTTTTTGGTTGCCGTTAGTCATTTTGGATAGGATTTGTACATACTTTAGGCAATACTTGTTTACTGACCTTATGGGTTTTACAACAAAAAGAGCTGGTGCTGATGTAGGGAGGGTTTTATCTTTGGATTAATTGGCAGCCAAATGTACATGTGGCCCAGACTCTCCCTTGGTGCCATGTCCTCCCTCCCGCCTATAATCGAAAGCCCTTGTAAACCCTCCGTTGCAGTGAGAGCTGAAAACTCCGATCTGCCTTTGTTCTATGACAAAGGAGAGATCATCACATGCCCCACTGGACTGTGCATTTCGTTGCTCGAAAAATCAGTGGTGAATGATGCCACTCAGACGCTGGGACACTGGGAAACCTTGGTTTTTGGCCACAGTGCTGAGCTTAGTGACCAAGCAATGAGGCTACTGCTGGTGAAACTTAACACCAAACCCTCTTGGTGTCTTTTGTGAAGTCATTCAGACTTTATGGTATTTTTGATGAAGTCATTCTGCCGGATGGCAAGGACTCATTTTTTCCCCCTCAATTGAAAACAAACATTATGGCAATTTTTCATCTTTTTTATATGGCAACTAGCTAGTATGGGGATCTCAATCCTTGACCTTGGTGTTACAACACTGTTCTCTAACCAACCGAGCTAACCAGCTAGCCCCTATTGTGGCCATTTTGGAGAAAGGTTGTAATTTCAAGGTTTCAAGGGCGCAGAAAAGATACCCAATTTCCCCTTAAGTGTAAGGCTAAGATATTCAGATTAGATACCCAAGGCCCCCCTTATGTTAAAGGCTAAGTTAAAGTCCAAGTTTTGTGCAACTTTAAAATCTCTGCCTTTCTGGGAAAATAGAGGAAACCTTATTGCAATGCCTGTAAGTCAATATAACCTCATACACTGGATTAGTTAACTTGGTCCATTATTCCTTTGCAAAGAATTAAAAACAGTCATACTCTCGAGGGTTATATAGTTCTTGAACTTTTTTTTTTTGGTTGTTCTTGTTGCTCCATGGATTCTTTAGGTGTCTCTAAGTAGTTTGTTCTGAAACTAAAGAGAATGACGTTGGTGGGACTGAGCAAGAATTCAGAATTTAATGATGTGGGTAAGAGAACAATGGAAATATAGCAATCTAAGAATATATTGCCAGGGGCTGGCTGGTTAGCTCAGTTAGAGCATGCTGCTAATAGTACCAAGTTCCAGGGTTCGATCCCTGTGCCAGTCAGCTACACACGCACATGAAAAAAACACCCAACACAAACATATATATATCCTACCTTAATTGTATATTAGAGTGTATGTGGAGGTAGCTGTAACATGTGGAAATTTATTGTGTAACTTTTTATATATTTTAGATTTATTCAAATCAAACAACTGTTGTAACACTTTCAAGTAACTCCTCGCAGAGTACCTCGGCTGCCCCCAATCCAGCTAATGCCACCACCAAGGTGGCTGGTGGTGCCCTGCAGTCCACAGCCAGTCTCCTCGTCATCTCACTCTCTCTCCTACATCTCTACTGTTAAAAGACTCGGGCCAAGAAACGTCTATACTTCCCCATCTTCTGAACCCAATCCAAATGGCGTCTAGAAGTCCAGTGTGGCAAGGAAACAGCAGGTCTTCATCAAATCTACTACTTCCACACCTTATTTTATTGACCCAGAAAATGTTGAGAATCCCAAATTTGATTGGTTGGAAGAACAAGTGAAGGGTTTGACTAGATGATGCACGCCAATATTAAATCTGCTGGAGTTTCATGTATAAGAGGAAGAGAGACAACATCCAAAATTAATTAAGACATGATTTCCTTGAATGTGGCTTAAGAAATATGGACACTTCAAACTCTACCTTGAAAATAAGAGTAGATTTTATCTAGAGATAAAGGATGGGATGTGGAATGGAGATTTAGTTTTCATTTGGTTCATTAAATCTATAAGGCCATAAAAGAGCTTCCATGATTCTATTTATATGTACATTAGAAGGAATTTCAGTTGTTACTGTAAATCCTCAATGTATTGTTTCAGCAGTACTAATTTAATGCCAATATACTCTAGGTGAAGTTTTACATTGTTAAGCTATCACTGTTGTCTTGGGAACTGAACTGTTTTTCCTCTGAGGCTTTGGATTTGACATTGCATTTGACTTTTTATGTAGTAGTTGACATGTGCCAGGGCAACAATGGATGAAATCTACCCCAAGTGCCATCATTGTGAGCAACTCTTGCTTATCTGGCAGGCATTTCCCATCACTATTTCCATTCAACAAGAGCACCAGATTCGTTTAGCTCAACTGATTCCAAAGAGTAGAATTGCATTGACCCCAACTATTATTGCATTAACCTCAACTGTTAAAAAATGCTGCTTTTTATTTCTGCATATGTTGCATACTTTTTACAATTTTAAAAATGATGTTTTGAAGGTAAAATAATAATTAAAAAATGCTGCTTTTTATTTCTGCATATGTTGCATACTTTTTACAATTTTAAAAATGATCTGTTTTGAAGGTAAAATAATAAATTTTGAAATTAAAAAGGCAAATACGTGAAGGAGCCAAAACTGTAAATCAAGTATTTGGGAAGTGAAGACTGGAAGCTAACTTGCATTAGATTCACAAAAACTTTTATACTCTTTCTGTAAATACTTTTTTTTTTAAAAGCTATGGATCAGAATAGACACATTTGGAACACTTCTTGTTTTCAGCCAATATTTTTAGATAGTTAGAACCTGGTCCCGGAAGCTAACTTGCATTAGATTCACAAAAACTTTTATACTCTTTCTGTAAATACTTTTTTTTAAAAAAGCTATGGATCAGAATAGACACATTTGGAACACTTCTTGTTTTCAGTCAATATTTTTAGATAGTTAGAGCCTGGTCCTGTCAATATTTTTAGATAGTTAGAGCCTGGTCCTATGCCCCAAAGTGGGCTTGATTCTGCAGTAAATCTTTTACAACTGCCTTGATACACAGAAACCTTTCTAAGAATTCATTTGTTCGCATGGTCACACACTGATGCTTAGATGTTTCAGTATCTAATATGGCCACAGCAGTCTTGATAACTAAAGCCACTTTTTCCCCGTCCTTAGAAATCTAAGCAGAAACAACCAAATCAAACAGATTGGAAGCTACCGTGTGTGTGAATGAACACCCCTTTTGCTTCATACCTGAATGCTGTACATCTATTTTGAATTGTATATTGTGTTTGTGTATTTATGCTTTGATTCATAGTGACCTCTCATGTTATGGAATTGATTTGCATTAAACACAAACTGTAAATAAAAAAATGGCTGAAAGGGCAATCTATTGAATTTAACATTTTTCTGATACAAGGAATACTTTGCAGATGATCATGAGTTTGTATGAACGTTAACTTAAAACCATTAGGGATATACCTCAATATTTTCCTATTAATTAGAATATTACAGTTTACCCATTTCTGCATTGCCAACCAGCAGCAGGTTTTGACTAGTGAATTCCACCCAAAGTTGACATCTTTAATCCTTTAAGATGGCACCCTTACTTATTCAACAACTGTTTGTTGTGTGCCAGCTCTATGCCAGAGTACTGAAGATTGAATGCTGAACCTGCTGGACAAGGTTTTTAACTTTAGTTGAGAGAGTATGTATGTGATGACAAATAAGCAGTAGACTGTCAAATAGTGAGTGCTGTGAGGAGAACACCAGGGTGGCAGGAGTCATGGACCATGGGTTGAGAGATCACGAGTGGTCTTGGACATTTGTGGAAGAACCTGAAGAAAATTCCCTGGTGGAAGGAACAGCATGTGCTAAGTCCCTGAGTCTGCACCACTTTTTCCTATCTGTATGTAGGTCCACTAATCACTTTGATTTCCTAAATTGTCACTACTGTCTGCTCCTTTAAGACCCCTGAATTCCTTTGGTCCTTCAAAGCCCTTCAAGACTCCCAGATGTAACATCTTTATTGTGATTCAGGGTCACCAGGAAAGGCAAGCTGGAACTCTGGGCAATAAGTGGGAGCTGCAGTCCACGGGTGGGATTTCATCAAGGGACCTCAGTTCTGCTCCTAAGGCCTTTCAACTGATAGAATCAGGTCCGCTCAGATTATCTAAGAGTCTTACATTAATCATATCTACAAAATACTTCTTGGCAACACCCAGACTAGTATTTGCTTGGATAACTGGGGACTAGCTAAGTTAACACAAACTGACAATCACAATTTACCTCTCGTCAGCTCGGCACATGCACATGTCTCTCTGAACCATACTTGATCTTCACATAGAAAGTAACAATAGCAAGGTAATATTTCTGCCTAACATGGTGGTATTATCCTTCATACAACCAAAAACACTCCCCAGGAGAGGATGCAGAGTCTTTGGATTGTGTTTACTCTTCTTGATATCCTACACCTTAAATACTGTGATGTAAAGTTAACCATTATTAAAACCCCTTAAGTTAGATGACAAGGAATAAGAGGGAAGGGAAAAAAATGTACTTCATATACACACATACACAGAGGAAGGAATACCCATAACTATTACAATTCTCATTCCTGCAACTGGTCATGTGGGCTGTAGCAGGTATTTATAGCTACCTTCTTCCATTGTCAGGTTCATATTAACTCTGCTGTCAGTAAGCTCCTCAGCCGGTCATGGTTCTTAGCCTGGCAGGGTGACCCAAACCTTTGCCTGAATACGGTTGTAGTTTTCCATCAACCTTAATCATAAGACATGCTAGTACTAAGGGATGCCCTAAGATCTGTATTTCAAACATACTCTTCCTTAACCTTCATTGTATAGTAGCAACCCAGTTTTCCTTTGGTAATCAGGATCAATCACACCACCAGTACAGCAGTTCCCTTTTTGCGTTTTGATGCAGAGGCTTGAGCCCAAAATGGCTGTGCTGTAACCTCAACTTCCAGTTCAGTGGAATCATTGCTGTGTCTCCTGGTGGAAGCATTCTTCCCTAGGAACTAAGGCCTTTATACCAGCAGAGCATAAAGTCTCAGGAACAGGAAATAGAAATTGCCAGTGAGTAAGTGGTAATAGTGAGTGATACCGCTCCATTTTCACCCCTTGATTATTGAACCTAGAAACCTGGCTGTGGGCTAAGGCCTTTATACCAGCAGAGCATAAAGTCTCAGGAACAGGAAATAGAAATTGCCAGTGAATAAGTGGTAATAGTGAGTGATACCGCTCCATTTTCACCCCTTGATTATTGAACCTAGAAACCTGGCTGTGGCAGAAACAGCACCACATTTACAGCATACATAGCCTTCTGGAGGACACTGCCCCAGTTCTGCAAAATATTGCCACCTAGCTGGTGCTGTATCTTGAGTTTTCGGAAGGCTATTCTTCTGTTCTATCAAGCCAACTGCTTCAGGATGCTGGGGGACATGGGAAGATCAGTGAATTCTGTGACCATGGACCCATTGCCACACATCATTGGCTGTGAAGTAAGTTCCTTGGTCAGAAGCAATACTGTGTAGATTACCACGATCATGGGTAGAATGTTCTGTAAGTCCAGAGATGGTGGTTTTGGCAAAAGCATTGCTTGCAGGGAAGGCAAACTCATATCCAGAAGAAGTCTGTTCCAGTAAGGACAAAATACTGCCCCTTCCATAATGGAAGTGATCCAGGGTAATCTACCTTCCACCGGGTAGCTGGCTGATCACCCCTGGGGAATGGTGCCATATTGGTGGTTCAGTGTTAATCTTTGCTGCAATAGATTGGGTACTCCACAGTGGCTCTGGTCAGGTTGGTCATAGTGAATGTAAGTCCATGTGCCCTGCCTGTCCCCTGCCACCATGAACCCATTGAACAATGGCAGGGATGGCTGGAGAAAGAGGCTGACTGGTATCCACAGAATGGGTCATCCTATCCATTTGATTATTAAAGTCCTTCTCTGCTGAGTTCACCATTTGGTGAGCATTCATGTTGGACACAAATATCTTCACATTCTTTGCCTATGTACCTCTATCCATATGTCTCTTCCTCAGACTTTCTTGTCACCAGTTTTCCAATAATGTCCTTTCCAAGTCCATACAGCCAAACCATTGGCCACAGCCCAATGGCCAGATTCATACAGGTCATTTAGACTTATTTAAGTCAAACAGCTATTGTAAAACTTTACAGTAACTCCTCCCAGAATACTTTGGCTACCTCAAATCTAGTAATAAGGTCATTTCTCCTTCCAAGCAAAATAAACAACCAGGTGCACTGCATGTAATTCTGCCCACAAGGAGTATTTCCCTTCACCACTGTCCTCCAGGCATGTCCCAGAGGGGCTTGTAGAGCTGCAGCCATCCACTTTCGGGTAGAGCCTGTGAATTGTGCAGAACCTTCTATAAACTAGACCCAAGTTTTCTCTTTCTCAGTCAGCTGATCATAGGGAGCTGTCCATGAGTCCATAGGTGCAGGCTGGGGGACAGAAGGTAACGTAGCAGGAGTAGGAACCGTGAGCATTTGGCTACTTCTTCATGTGTCTGTAGGGATTGCTTGAGCCATTCTCATACATACCACTTACATTTGACAAAGGAGTCTGCTGTGTAACCCAACTTTATGGTCTGGTGGGTTATACAACACCCAGTTTATGAAGGACAACTCAGGTCACATGGTGGCCCATGGTTAAGGGTTCAGTCTCACTAAAGTGCAAGTAACAAGCCAAAAACTTTGTCAAAGAAGAGTTGCTGTCTGCAGGGGATAACAGGGCTTCGTTTTGAAACCCTGAAACTGACCATTACACCAATCCTTGATCTAATATAAACTTATAGAAAAGCTATAAAAAATTTGGGTGTATCTTTTAAAAAGTAATGATCAATGCTCAAGGAGGAGGAAATGCAATCACTTTTTCAGCTTTTCTTTGAAAATGGTTTTAAACTAATCTGTGTTGTTTTATTTATCAGAAAAATTCCATTTTAGGGTTATACTTTGAATATTCACACTTAAATACTTGTCATATAATTTATGGCTAAATTAAGTAATGAATAGCCATGGTATGAGGGTCTCTTCAACTAAGTTTAGCCTTAGTAGATAAAAGAAACAGTGTAGAGACAAGAAGCCAGTTGGAGCACTGTGCCATAAAGTTAAGATGAGAAAAATCTGTTTAGAACTCAACATATTCTAAACACACACAACCAGTGCCACCACCATCCTTAAAATAGAAGCCAAATATTTAGGTAGCTGAAAAGTACATGTTTTTCATTTCTTGTAGACCTCATTTGGGGTTGGTTTGGTTATTTTTGAATTCCTTACTCAGTATAAAGAAAGTATTTTTTCTAATTTTGGTAGGATGGCACTTTTTGGAACAACAAATCAGGAAAGGCAATACAGATAAACCAGTTGACTAAAATAATCAGTTCTTGCCATTTAGTCTAGCCGGAAATGAGCATACCCCCACGACCCAGCAACTTCATGTCTAGGTATAAACCCTGAAAAATATATGCACAGTGAGACATGTGCTGTGAAGCTCATTGCAATGCCATTTGTAGGAGCATAATTGGAAGAAACCTTAAAGTCCATCAGCAGAAAATTAGATACATGAATTGTGGCATAATTGTATAATAGAATACTCAGAGAAGTGGAAATAAATAAGTTACTGTATGTACTAACTTAGTATGGATTGGATACATACGAAATTCTTTATAATAGTTGCTTTTAGGAACATGGGACCAGAGAGAGGACCCCATGGAACTTCTAAAAATATATCTATCTGAAGCAAACCTACAAAACATTAACATTTATTTATTTTGATTCTTAAAGCCCAGGTTATTATAATAGCCTATGCACTTTTGTACTTTTTCTCTACCACACCAAAAATAAACCTAATATTTAAATTTTAGGATTGTTGTTTTTTGTTGGTGGTGTGTGTGTGTGTGTGTGCATGTGTGTGCGTGTGTGTGGTTGTTGCTTTCCTTTCTGTTGCGAACAACAAATCCTCTTATTAAAAATGCCTCGACACAAACCTAATCATTTAAGGATCCAACTTAAAATCCTTGACAATTTCTCTCAATAATTTGAAGTGTTTGTTTGTTTGTTTTTTTAGGGAAGTTGCTTCAAGAAGTCAGGGTATAAATGTATGCTATAATTATTTGTGAAGACATTTCTGGATAATAATAAATCAAATTAACATAAAAGCAATTAAGCTTTTAATATAATTAAGCTAAAACTCCTCCATGTAAATTGAAAGCCCGGCTTCTCAAGTTCATGTTCTATATGAGGAGCAAGTGAATTTTAGGATGGCTATTTTACTGTAGACCATGGTTTTGTGTATATCACATTGGGGTGAAATCTGCCAGAAATTTCATTAGATAATTTGTAAC